GGTAGGATACCTTGCAATGGTTTCCGTCATGATTTCGATCAGGGTCATCTTCAGTTCTTTGGTGTACCATTTTAATTTTCTATGGATGATACCTATTCCTCTTCAAAAGTCTTCACACAGTAGAAGGAGACACTTCACAAACGTTCACGACGGAATAAGTAGACTGTTCAGGATTTACTACTATCTCACCAATTATTTGCACTTGGTGTTCTTCCGGAATGGACGGATAACCTGGGGGCTTTTTGTTATGTACACTACCGGTAGTTGAGAATTTGGATACAAGTTTCCTCAAATATTTTCTACAGATAGGACGCTTCGGAAAACGTTTACTGAGAATCCTTTCGGTCTCGTGAAAGTTACGCGTCGTACCGTAAATAAAAATCGCTTCAATTTTTTCTTTCGATTGTTGACGTGGTACCTTCCTACTAGTGAAACCGAAAACTTAATGAGAATATTCCAACTGAACAATGATGTTCATAGTCGTACTGACATTTTTTTATGTTTTTATTAAGAAAAAATAACTCAACAAACCTTATCGGGTTATTGGAGTTGTCATATGGCAGATAAAAAAGGATATTTCTAGAAATAAATATCGATATTGATGTGTTTGTCGTCAGGAAATTATTAAATGTTCCGCCATTTTGTAGTAGAAGATATTGACTTCATATGCTAGGGTTGTGAAGTATTTGTCAGGAGCTTCAAAATTATGTGTCACTAGACCCCTTTTTCCATTCATTTTTTTCCATATGATGCCCAGTCGCCATCTTGAAAGTTTCATCTGTTAATTTCACTTCAAAATGAAGCATTAATGCATTAATTTCATTATCCCAAATTCCAATTTTTTGTGTTGACCCATTCAAAAAATAAAAGGGGAGGACGTTAAAGATATGCACTGTATATCACCCATTAATTATCTTTCAATTATTTTTCAGCTGCACAAAAAATTTCCCGATAAATGTTGGTAGTTGACCTTCACCATCTCTCTTCATCATTCGCGCACCTAAAAGGCACAACAAGATTTGCCAAGCTGTTCATATAATCCAATGGGGGGAAAAAAATTGGTTTTGCATATTTGCCTTTTCTGAAAGTAATCATTAGGAGTTGCTTTGAATTGAAACCTATTAAATTTCAGATATCAACTTCAAAACGACCATCTACAAGAACATGTATGTAATCAAGAAGGATTTTCAACAATGAATGTCTTTCTGAGTTGCATGAAATTTCAATGGCTCAAGACGAGGAGTAGACCTGTGAATACCAGGAGAAGTACTAAGCAGAATGGAAATGTCGACCTTCCTGTGGAACTGAATTCAACTAACAACGAATCGAGTACTATCTCCTATACTTGAAGATACCAAATATAATTCAAAATATATTTATAATTCCAATTGTTCAGTGTTAAGGAGTGAACGGTATTAATTCTTCATTGAATTCTATGTGAAAAAATTCAGTTTCCTGAAGCGACTGATTCACTAATTGTTATACTCAAGAACTTGTTTTATTATTATCTAGAGTTTTTAAGGTGGGCATACAAATATTCCATTTTCTTGATACATGCATATCCAAGAAACTTTTCTAGCAGTATTTTCATCAGTTTTCTATTTAAAGGCCAGGTAATAGTATAAAAAAGTTGCGAAGAATGTATGTTAAATGAGTGTGGTAAAGAATGTAAAATATTTGACCTAGAATGGCGAAAATAAATATTTGCAGATTATCTGAAGTTTTTTTTTATCAAAATGGGTTAGTTGGTTGAACAAATCTGTTTAAGAGGGTTTTATAGTTTTTCAGAACTTTCAGTTCCTGGCGGTCTTATGAAACAGCCTGATTCTGCATTCTATTTATTGATGTTAGAAGATTTCACCAGATTTTTTTACAACAATTGTGCGTCGACTTCTCCAATGAATGCTTTTCAACTTCTCATTATCTCCCTATACCCAGCAAAACCAATGAGATCACGACGTATTGTGTAACAAACTTGTCTTCTTTGAATCTAAAGAAATGAACTTAACGTCCAAGCCAGTCTCGAATATACTCACACAGTAGGTTGAATGGACTGACGCCTATCAGAAAACAACTACTCCCCTGGATAATACCACGAAGGGCGTTGGATTATATCCGACAGGCATATGCAATTGGCGATACAACTGAAAGAGTCGACCTTCAATTTTGGAACGGACACATTTGCAGACCGGTTTCGGGCTCATTAGCCACTCATCAGTGCAAGATAGTGGCCATCATCGACTGACTAATAAGAAAGTTTTTCTTCCTTATTTCTTCCTTATTCAGAGGAATTGGGAAAATTTCGGATATGCAGTCGTTTAGTATCTCGTCCACTAGATGGAGTGACATTTTGTTGTTCGCTCCAACTTAGGAAGAGGAATGAAAAATATCTAATAGAACTAAATGGACTTTTTTGTTCCTGTTCAACTCCGCGATGGTGTTTTCGACCAGTCTCAGAGCCTGCAACTCAGTGGAACAACAACATGTGAATAACCAAGAAAAGTACTTGATGAAAATAACTGCGTAAACGCAAGTGAGACATAAGTGGAACCACCTATTGGTGTGACACCCAAGTCAACTTGCCAAGTTTTTATGTCAGTGTTGGTGGTTTAACCAATTAACCGACAACTGCGGTAGCAGAAATTTGGGAAACTATCCTGAAATGTCATAGGAAAACGAATCCACATGTTTCTAGAATTGATATGAAATCGAGAAAGGTTAATCCAGTCAAGCTGCTGGAAAATAATTCCATGAAAATCAAAAGATAAATAGATAAGTACTATTTTGAGCATTTCCATATTGATTTCAATTTAAGAGTTTAAGAGCCACCGGTAGACAGCTGTTTCATCCTATTGGGCATCGTCAGTACCGGGCAGGCGGTCCTCGATTGAAGACGAAATGTGATGGTGGAAGTCATCTTCAATTTAGTCAGGTTGGAGCCTGGCTCCCTTACCCTTTGAACTGATGTTTGCCAGAAGGACAAACGGGTCATGACTGATGTGGGTGTTGATGGTATGGCGACATGAATGTCCTCAGACATCAGTACCGCCCTTCACGGTGTACCCCTCTGCCTGGCTGGGGTGAATTGGATAAAAACGTTGTTCATCTTTCAACGGAAGATATAGGGGCCTCATTCGACAGAGTGTCCGGGCCTTCTATATCGAGAGAGGTCGTCTACAGTATAATCCATAGCTTTCCTGACTAATGGACAAAATGTGAACAACTAAGAAAAGTTCTTAATAAAAATAACTGCGTAAACACGAGCGAGACATTAGTGGAACCACCTATTGGTGTGACACCCAAGTCAACTTGCCAAGTTTTTGTCAGAGGTGGTGGTTTGACCAATCAACCGACAACTGCGGTGCAGAAATTTGGGAAGCTATCCTGAAATGCCATCGGAAAACGAATCCACATGTTTCTAGAACTGATATGAAATCAAGAAAGGTTAATGCAGTCACGCTACTGGAAAATAATTCCATGAAAATCAAAAGATAAATAGACGAGTACTATTTTGATTATTACCATATTGATTTCAATTTAAGAGCCACCGGTGGACAGCTGTTTTATCCTAATGGGCATCGTCAGTACCGGGCAGGCGGTCCTCGATTGAAGACAAAATGTGAACAACTAAGAAAAGTACTTCCTAAAAATAACTGCGTAAACACAAGCGAAACATAAGTGGAACCACCTATTGGTGTGACACCCAAGTCAACTTTCCAAGTTTTTATGTCAGAGGTGGTGGTTTGACCAATCAACCGACAACTGCGGTGCAGAAATTTGGGAAGCTAAACCTGAAATGCCATCGAAAAACGAATCCACATGTTTCTAGAATTGATATGAAATCAAGAAAGGTTCATGCAGTCAAGCTATGAAATCGAGAAAGGTAAATGCAGTCAAGCTGCTGAAAAATACTTCCATAAAAATCAAAATATGAATAGATACGTACTTTCTGATCATTCCCATATTGATTTCAATTCAAGAGCCACCGGTAGACAGCTCTTTCAGCCTATTGGGCATCGTCAGTACCGGGCAGGCGGTCCTCGATTGAAGACAAAATGACGACGTAATCCATCTTGATTTCATGCAGGTTGAAGCCTGGCTCCCTTCTCCTTTCAACTGGTGATGACAAAATGAGAAAAACCAAGAAAGTACTTGATAAAAATAGCTGCGTAAATGCAAGCAAAACATAATTGGAACCACCTATTGGTGTGACACCCAAGTCAACTTGCCAAGTTTTCATGTCAGTGTTGGTGGTTTAACCAATTAACCGACAACTGCGGTAGCAGAAATTTGGAAAGCTAAACCTGAAATGCCATCGGAAAACGAATCCACATGTTTCTGGAATTGATATGAAATCGAGAAATGTTAATGCAGTCAAGCTGCTGGAAAATAATTCCATGAAAATCAAAAGATAAATAGATAAGTACTATTTTGATCATTTCCAAGCTAACTTGGGTGTTATACCAATAACCACTTATGTTTTATACCACTTATGTTTCGCTTACTGTTACACAGTTATTTTTCTCAAGTACTGTTCTTGGTCTTTCATATTTTGTCTTCAATCGAGGACCGCCTGCCCGGTACTGACGATGCCCAATAGGCTGAAACAGCTGTCTACCGGTTTCTCTTAAATTGAAATCAAATTGGGAATGATCAGAATATCACCTTCATCTTTTAAATTTCATGGAATTATTTTCTAGCATCTTGACTGCATTAACTTATCTTGATTTTATATCATTTCTAGAAAAAGGTGAATTTATTTTCCGATGACATTCCAGGAAATCTTCCCAAATTTCTGCCAATGCAGTTGATTATTATTAGTTTCACTTTTTATTTTATTCAGTCGAAAGTGAAATTATATAAAATTTCGCGATCTGTCACCTCAAATATGTTGAAATATTGAGAAGATTTCAATACAAAGCTGATCCTCTACTTCAATGATGGCCGTATGAGATTGAAATTAGCATAACTACGAAATAAAGTGAAAAAAAAACAAACTATGAAGATTTATACCATTTATTAAAAATAACGCAATACAAACAGATCATATCTCTAGATATTTGATTTTCAAGAGAAAAAAGTTGAAAATGTTCAATCTTTGATATGTCCACAAAGTATTTTTCTCACCCCAAACAAAATATACTCAACGTCATAAACTCATAAACTAAGTAATGAATTTTGATATGGTGTTGACAAATGAACGAAATGATTCGAGAGAGAAGTTTGTCTATGTATATATTTCAATAATGTTTTGTCTGAATCGATCAAAATATGAAGAAGCTACTTGTGCGAAGCCGGAAAGTAAGTAAGTAAGCAAAAAATCGGGAAACAGAAAAAAATATAGCCAATGAAAGTTACATAGGGGACAAATAACGACGAAAATGTATGGAAATATATTGGATATGCGATAGGAGAGTGAAATGAAAGTCTCACTCGTATAGAGTGATTTACAGGTACATATGGTATTAATAATGGAAAAAAGTGATTGAAACTCATACACTAGCAAATAAATAAAATAAATAACTATAAAATAACCAAAACCATAACCAAACTAGGAATCAGAGAGATTTAAGGTAAAACTTGTATATACATTTTTCTTGAATACCTCTGAATTCTCTGAAACAGTTTTTCAGGTAACCTATCACAATTTCAACCTGAATATTAAAATTCTGACAGACAATCATTCACACAGAAATATATTCAGGTTAGGTCATCAAAATTGATAATATATCAAAAAATCCCAACAATTTCATATGGCGTAATTAATTTCTATACAGTTGCCTAGAATGACAAACATCGTGCGTATCATTCAAGAGTAAAAGCAACTGGCTGTCTGTATCGATTTTCTCTTCCTAGGATTAGTTCCTGTTACGCTTGCTAACTTATTTTGGGTAAGAGGTCTCAATTTTGCGCACAAAAAGACCGACATCAAACAAGACAACATGAGAATAACCAGCAGCACTACTAATGTGGTAGCAAATCCAGAATTCGTCATACAGATCAATCCAGCATTATTAACTTCGGCCCTGGTCGGAAAAACCATCGTGGGTGGTGTGGCACTATTGGTATTTTCATCTAAAGAAAATGTAAGGTCTCCTGTAGAAACAACCCTAATCACCCTGTTGACTCCCACTTCTTTCTCTGGGTCGGATTTAACAGCTCTCCTACTCCTTCTGTCTTCCCTTGGTCGAATGTATGTTTCAACGAGATGAGGGTGATGTGGTGGTGGAGGAATTCCATAATTCGAGTTGGGAGGACCGTGCGACAACTCGATGAAATCACTGTTGATGATATGTTCTGAGGAATCAGAACACTGATCAGGGCATTGGTATCTGCAAATCTGGATGGTGCACTGAAAGTGAACCTCCATTGAATCAGGGAATTTGAAGGCTTGGAAGTGTGCGTATGATAAGACTGAGGCACTCGCCCCAAAGTTTTTTATTTTCGTGAATCTCGACATGAGCTTTGGTCGCGTTAGACAGCCTTGCTGGTCGACCAGCTGTATGGGTGCACGTTTGCCGTCATGAGCCATACAGTTCCTGACCAGCATATCGAATTTGGAATCGTCATCTTTGATCGCTAGAACCATTGTCATAGTTTGGCCGATTTTGACAAGTCCGGACACCTCAGAAGCCCAAGGACCTTTTCCGACTTGTATTTGCATCCAACAACCAACATTATCACCAGCAAAGTCGGTTCGTACAACATCCAACATATCCACTGGGAAGGGTCTGAATGTCACGGATTTTTCGTATTGATCGTGCCAAGTACAACGCAATTTTCTAGCTTGGTCCCATACTTCTTGTACTTGCGGATCATACTGGATAACGATAACGTTTTCGAAATATGTACCTGAACCTGATTCCGCACCGTACCCATAGAGTCCGTTTTCTGTATTACCTGCTGTTCCACACGCATGGATACCTATTTCGAAATGTGCCGAAGTTCTTCCAAGGCCTACAGGAAGATGTACACAATGTACATTACTATAATGACCTTTACTGAATACTATGCCATAGAATGGTTTGTCAAATCCAATATACACTTTCATCAGATTTTTTTCGCACTTCACGTCCAAAGATATTATTTTAGGCATATCTGGTGCAGGAGCTGGCCAAATCTCCCCTTCACTAGTGTCATATTTGTCCATTGCCTGATTAGGTGGTGGAGGAGGTGGACCATTATAGGAATTTTTGTTGTCAAATCTTTTGTTGTTCTTCTGAATCCCAAATGGTGTGTGACTATAATGGTCGTTATTCGGTCGCGGAGGTGGATTGGCAGTCCTTGAGGGTCCGGCGTTATATGCATGTTTTTTGGGGGGATTTGCAAGGTCCATGAGTGATTCCAGAGATAGGTGACCCAAACTAGGTTCGTTGCGGGTTTTGTTGTGATCTTTCATTTCTTCGGAACCAGGGATAGCTTCTATTACCTCCACTTCTTCAGCAGACGGTGTCAGCTGGAAAAAATGAAAACATAAATGAATCATTGGACTTTATTGATGATGATCAAGATAAAATAAACAAATCTGTACAGGACAAGCCTCAAATCAGATTCCACTATTCTATACAAAAATGCCACAACTGTGCTATAACTGTGGAAGATATGTGAAACAATATAGGGTCTTCTAACAGGGACTTCCGAATTTTGACACCTGATGACAGTCATCTTGTTGAAGCTACATCTGTCAAATCAATTGTCATTTATTCAGTCTGTACTGCTAAGTCATCGTGGATGTATATAACGGGTGATTTTTTAAGAGGTATAGGATTTGATTTTCAAAACAACTCAAAAACATTTAAAAAATGGATGAAGTCGTTATTGGAATCGATAGAACGATCAATATAATTTAATGTTTGAAGATGATTTCATGCAAATGTTCACCGCGGTTCCGCTTTAGATGGCCCATGCGCAAGGTCCAATTTTGGCACACTCTTTCTAACATATCGACCGGTATTTCATGTATAAATGCTTCAATATTGGCCAGAGCGTCAGTCATTGCTTGTTTATCCCTGTAGACATGAGCCTTAATATGACCACACCAGAGATGATCCAAAGGCGTTAAATCACACGATCTAAGTGGCCAATTGACGGGACCCAAACGTGAGATAAACTGTTCACCGAAGGTGGCTCTTAATTGGGCCATTGTTTCGCCGTGTGGCATGTGGCATCGTCTTGTTGAAACCACATGTCAGGCATGTCCAATTCTTTCATTTTGGGCAACAAAAAGTCGATCATCACACGGTAGCGCTCGCCATTCACAGTAACGTTCCAGCCATTGTCGTCTTTGAAGAAGTACGGCCCGATGATGCCACTGATCCATAATCCACACCAAACAGTGAGTTTTTTGGGATGCATCGGTAGCTCTTGCAATGCTTGTGGCTGGTGTTCACTCCAGATGCGGCAATTTTGCTTGTTAACGTATCTATTCAACCAGAAATCAGCCTCGTCGCTGAACACAATTTTTCGATAAAAATGTGGATCTTTCTCCAACTTTCCAGCGCCCATTCACCAAATGTTAGACGTTGTGGGAGGTCGTGTGGCTTCAATTCTTGCCCCAGCTGTATCTTATGAGGTTTTACACCCAAATCCTTTCGCAAAATTTTCCACACAGTGGAGTAACAGAGGCCCAATTGCTGCAAACGGCGGCGAATCGACATTTATCGTAACCGTTTTTGACAGCAATATGTTTTATGAAAATCAGTTCTCTTTGATAACTGCTTTCTGGAAGTGAAATAATCAATATTCTGTGATTTATAGTATTGAATGTTGCTACTTTATGTTGATATGGATGTATAGATGAATTGTGTATAATGATGTCCATGTAAGATTGTTTGTGGAAAATGGCAGAACCATATTTATTAGAATTGAAGGGGTTATATTTTTAGGAGTGATTAATTTTTGGGAAAGAAAGTTTTTGGCTTTCTACTACTCCATCTGATACAAAAAAAAGAAGAGGGAATCTTCCAAAGAAAGGAAGGAAGTAAATCAATTTGAAAATAAGTAACTCTATACATGGATATGTAGATGACATAAGCAGATCAAGCTTATTCCGTGACATTAAAAATCGTAATTCATGAATAAATTGTGTGTATTTTCTATATCCAATTTGGTACTGAAGAGCCTTAGGGCAAGTGTTTTAAGGCGAAACATCGATGTATACCAGTGAGGATGACAATGTTCCATGTAAGTGCAATTTGTTACTTTTCATTTAAAGTAGAACTCATGTGAATGATATCTGATTTTATTCCACAACGAATGTTTGAAATACAAACTGAGTAAAGAAAAGTATCTTCTGTATAATTCAGTGTTCATATAGAAGTATTTGTTCCGAAAGAATTTTTTTTTTCATCTAATTCAATATTGATATGAAAGTAGCTGTTTCAGGAGGACTTTCTTTCACGTTTTTTCTTTCACTTTGCATGATCTACACATCCATGTATATAGTTACTTATTTTCAAATTGATTTACTTCCTTACTTTCTTTGGAAGATTCCCTCATCTTTTTTTTGTATCGAGTGTAAATTTAATCGAAGGGTGAATGGAGTTAACAAATTCGATAAAATGATGGATGTAGCCATTACTACGTGATACACAGACTACGCAGAGTAAGATATCATCTACATATCTGTACCCGTATAAAAAATTGGTATGGTTGTTATTATCTAGGTGGTCCATGAAAAATTTGGCAACCAATGGACTCAAGGGGCTTCCCATTATTAGACACTTGCTACAAGAGTGACAATTGTCATTGAATTTAAAATAATTTTGAGCTAAGCGCACCTTCAGTTTACTAACCCAATTGTTTCTTCTGGCGGAATACTAGAAAATACATTTTGAACATTAAAAGATATTGATTTAGCGTTGTCGGGAAGATTTATGTTATCCACTGATTGGAAGGTATTATTTATACTGAGTCGTGGTTTAAAATTAGTGTAGGGTTGAATTATTCTCATGAGCATTTTCAAAACTTTCACGGATGGAGCCGTTACAAATGTTACTGACAACTCCTTCAGATTCACGTCTAGTAGAAAAATAATTTTCATGAAGATATCTTTAGTATATTCTTCAGTATTGTGTTATAGAATTTGGAATTTGGTAAAGACCAATCAATATTTGTCTTTCATTAAATTCATTTGCTGATATCAACATGGCTGCTCTAGTTTAGATATTGACACAGAAATATTAAACATAGTTGTACCTATGTGTTATGAAAGCGTAGGATTTTGGAGGAATCAATACGATTATTGTTTATGTTATATATGAAAATCAGGGATATCAAATCGCGTCTTTGTTCTGATTATAATATTTTGAATTCGTTTNAATATTAAGCAGTAATTTAAAGTTGATAGTGTCAAATGCTCTGCTGAAATCCAGCAGTACCAATATTGCACACAGACCTTTATCCATTGAGGCAATGATATCATCGACTATATTAAGTAAGGCTGTCGTACAGCTGTAGCCTTTACGAAAGCCAGATTGAACAACAGGCAATAGTGAGTGGTCGGCTAAATGCTGTCTTATCTGTACTTCAATGGATCTTTCTAGAATCTTGGAAAGCATGGGTAGGATACTTATTCCTCTAAGATCCTTGTATTCTGAAGGATTTTGTTTCTTGGGTAGAACTTGAACCACTGCTCTTTTCCAAACAGTAGGGACAACACCCCTTGAAAGGCAGAAATTTATGATGTGTGTAATATATGGCACAATTAGAGGACAACAAAGTTTGATAAGTTTAACATTCAGCTCATCACAGCCCATTGCATTGGAATAAATTTTACAAATGCTGTCATATACAAAAGTGTCATTGACTCGAACGCATGCGATTATCTCAATAAATATCCCAACATACGATTTGCAGATTGAACTAACAACATGATATGCTTTGTGGAAAAAAGTACTATTATAAGTAAAACCTCAGTCTGTCAATTCAGGTTTTCAACCCAGGACTTTTACGTCCATATGATATTCAAATTTAAATACAGCTTTCCAACGAGATATTGTTGACGTATAACATTTTTTTATGTTGAAAAATAACTTATTAGGGTAACTCCAATTCACAATGTTGTCAATGTCTTTTTGTAGTGTTATGCAGTCTCTAACAGTTTGAATACGTTTAAAAACGTTGAGATCTTCTGCAAAGAGCAGACAATGTGAATGATATAAGACCGAAGGCAAATCATTGATGAATAATAAGAATAGAAGGGGCCCTAGATTTGATCCCTGAGGAACACCGGAATTAGCATGGAATATTCCATTACGTTTAACAATGAAATATCTATTTCTCAAGTACCTAATTTTTGCCAAAAGAACAACATGACTCATGTGATCAAAAGTTTTACTGAACACCCAATAAAATTTTGAACGATTTTCCCAGGCTATCAAAAAGTGGGCCAATAAGGTGATAATGCAAACAATCTTTGACTTGAAAATGTCACATCCGCCATCCGTAATTCGAGTCAATAGAGTCTTGTTTGTTTGGCATTGATCTTAGGTGCGGTCTTTGACTGAAGTGGACGCAATAAGTGCTTCTGGCCGACTGACCTGCCCATACTACCAATCCGTTATATTTAGACGGTTACCTGATTGCTTTCCGGAATATTGAAGAATCACCTGCAAATATGTTTCTTTCGGCAGCCGGCATCATAACCTTCTTCATTAAAACGGCGGTATGGCCATGAACTATTTTTTATCGTAGCCAAACTACTAACGAATATATTAGTCTAGTTTACAAGTTGAAATTCGTGTTCAGCCGTCATAAACTTCTTAAAAATATGAGCCATAAGTTCATTCTGAGTAAACTTTATTGACTATACAGGGTGATTCAAAACTACTTTGACAAACTTCAGGAGGTGATTCCTCACAATATTCTAATATGAATTGTCCAAATAAATAAATGTCCGGAAACGCTTCGTTTCCAAGATACAGGATGTTGAAGTTTCATTTTTATTTTCGTTTTTTTCAAATAACTTTTGAAATACTGAACTTAATT